CCCCCCCCCCCCTACACCCCTCACTCCTTGCTCCCCCACCTTTACTCCCTAGTCCGCCCTCCTGCTTCACCTTTGTTCTTTATTCTCACATCCGTAATTCGTTCATTGCAGTAATGTCCTGTTTATGAGTTAGCCCATTTGATTGCTCGTGTGTACGCCATACCTCCCTAACAGTTGAGTGAGCATGTGCGTGCCGTGTTGTAATCAGAGGTAACCCAGGACACACATTATGCTTGAGTTGCGCGGCGCTGCTATATATAAACAGAGCGCCTCGGGGCCCATGTTTATTATTCTACGTTATATCATCAAGGATGATAAGGATAGGGGGTAAAAAAATGGGAAAGGTTTTTTTGTTTTTTTTTCAAATTTATTTAAAGAAAAACACGTTTTGATACTGTCTCTTTAAATTTGGGTGATTTTTTACGCTTCCATCGACAGAATTTAGATATTTTAGGAAGCGAGCGGGCTTCTACCCCGCCTGTCAGGGTCAACCTGGGCTGAACTGAGAGAGATACAACATGTCTGCAGAATACCGAGATACTCGATTAAAAAAATCTCCCCTCACGGGAAGCGAGCTCGGGTTTTCTGCGCACGACGACGAAGTACCTAACGCTACACCACAGATGCTGGTTAAGATACTGTCTTGTGATGGGCAAAATAGGTGGCACGATTTCCTTTTTTTTTAATTCGAGGAAAATTATCTTATCAATCTATCGATGTATCTCTCAATCGATCTATCTGCCAATCTATCATGCTATTTATCTATCGATCTTGGATTTATATATTTGTGGGCAGTGATCTCCGCCTTTGAATTATCCATTTATAGGTACAGGTGTTGATTATCTTGCTATTAGACTGGAAAAATCACCGACCTTCGTTTGTCTTATACTTACCGTAGTTTCTTTTCGACTATTTTTCCAGGAATCGATGACAGTGAAGACATTGACCGTGACCTTCTCAGCGGCATCTACGAGCGGGTGAAAAGCCAAGAGTTCAAGGCCGGGGTGGACCAGGTCACACAGGTTATGAAAGTCGAGCAGACGATCATTGGGAAGAAACCGGTGAGTAATTGATTCTGTGTTCTTCTGTAATGTGTATGTACGATAGAGCGTAATGTTTAATATGTGCGGTTTAGTTTTGGGTATTTTTTCAAAAAAAAAGTTTTGTCTCATACTGGTCTTATCGTTCATTTGGCACGCTCTCTCTCTCTCTCTCTCTCTCTCTCTCTCT